CATTAATAGAGCCTATATTGGACTAATTTTGAGGCTTTCCCATAGTGGGAGACACAATATTTCGATTTTGTAAAATCAGGAATTCTTAAGTCTAATTTAGTTATTTTGAAAATGTTTCCTAGGCTATGTCTTCACTACTAGGTTATTTCAAAATAAGTTATTTTGAAATAACGCCCAAAATAACTAGTTTGAAATAAGCTTATTCCTCTTCACAAGCAGGAGTTATTATTTTGAAATAACAAGCCCATTATTTTGAAATAACAGGCATGGTAGTGTGGATGCTCACCTTATTATTTTGAAATAAGGGGAGTTATTTCAAAATAACTCCCCGGTGTAGACATGCCCCAAGTGTAGACATGGCTTTAGTGCTGCATTTCTCAAACTGTGGGTCCCAACCCCCCAGGGGGTCGTGAGCAACTTAGAGGGGGGGTCATGAGCAACTTAGAGGGGGGTTGCAGCAACTTAGAGGAGGGTCACAGTATCACAAAGTTTGAGAACCCCTGCCTTAGTGAATATCTGGGGAAATAGAGCTTCAAGGTTCCTATACAAATGCAAACTAGAGGCTGGAGGACCTCTGCTAGGATAAGGTGGAGTAACTGGAGGTCCTTTAGATCCAAGAATGTAAGGAATGGTTCCTGTGGAAGCTGGTGGTTGGGGATGGGGTGCAAGCAGTAGTTAGAAGCTCATTGAGAGAGTTGTTGGAGCAGGAACAGCTACCGAGTTTAAAGGGGAAGGAGCAACAAATCCTGGTACTATAAACCATCTCCTATGTCGCTTGTTAGCTTTGTTTTTGCATCAGTAAATTATTTCCAGTTGTCTAGTTTGTATGCTGCATCTGCAGCAGCCACAGCAGAGAAATTATCCTAAGGTACCACCACACAGGTAGGGACACTTCCTTTTCAGCTGACTACATCTTACACTGTTTAGAGAGCAGTGAAAAAAGAGCCCCAGGCTATGTTTAGACGGCAGGCTTCTTTCCAAAAAACCTTTTTTTGGAAGAAATCTTCCAAAAAATCTTCTTCCGAAAGAGAGCGTCCACACACAAAAGTGCATCGAAAAAGCGATTTGCTTTTTCGAAAGAGCATCCACACTGAATGGATGCTATCTTGCATGTAAACTGTGATAGCTATGGGTGGAATGGTCACCAGAGCACCTGTTTTTTTCTTCTTTCCTCTTCTTCCGAAAGCACTCCCTCTTCCCCATCCACACAAGAGCTCTTTTAGAAAAAAGGCTTCTTCCTCATAGAAAGAGGTTTACCAACACTGGAAAAACCCCTCCGTTCTTTCGATTTACCTTTGGAAGAATGTGATTGCAGTGTGGACGTAACTCACGTTTTGTTGGGAAAACGTCATCTTTCCGATAAAACATACCCCAGTGTCCTGTTATACTCAAATCTAATCTCATTAACTCTTATGTATCTTAATTACTTTTCATACCAGGGGTTTTTATTTGAGCTAATATGAAGGAAAAGGTACCAACAAGCCCATTAGAAACGTGTTTTAGTTGAGCCTTCATTATGCAGTAATGTAGACTTTCAGTTATGCCATATCTGTTAAAAATTTAAGCAAAGTTAGTACTGGTGAAAGGTGCCAGATTAAAAGCCCTAGAAATGGAAGTCCCCTAATTATCCAGAGAACAGGTATAGAACAGACAGAAGCAGGGTAAACTTCTGCAGTGCTGCCCCTCCAATTATATGGTATTTTTAATTTTCTATCTGACACATCATAGGCCTCCTTGATCAGAGAGTACATGAGAAAAATTAATTTGAGTTATTCCTTTCCTTTCCTATGATCAGTGTAGAACTGTGGGGCAGAGAGAAAGGGGGAGACAGAGAAAAATCTATTTCCAGGAGCTAGTGGCTATGGTTATAAAGTAGATTGAAACAAGAGGGGGCGCTCTCACTGCATCCGCTTGGGAAGAAGAGGAGTTATGGGGGGAGCCAGGCATTGCTTTCTAAAGTCTGGGAGGGAATTGGAAGCTCTCCCTTTGTTTTTACTAGACGGGGACTACATCCCATATGTCCCTCACTTTAAGCCTGGCAGGTAGTCACTGTGAATGCGTTTAGTATTTTGGTGGTGTTGGTCAACTCCAACACTGATCTGTTGATCAGTTAGTTGGATTTTTTTCTTGTTTGTGTGAATCTTACACAGGTTCAGTAATTCTTAGCTGAAGAAAGGATTGCTCCAGAAACAGGACTATAGGGCTATTATTTATGAAGCCTTAATCTCAAGGAAGCACCCTCTTCTCTCATTCACACTCATGTCAAGAGTCTGACTGAAAGTCCAAAGTGTTAATAGGCAGGTGGCTTGCCCACTCAGCAAGGTAAGTATTTCTACCATTGTTTTCTCATTGACACTCCCCTTTGTGTCTTCCCCCCAGAAAAAAAATGTAGATTTTATTTGGGGCTGCAAATGGTGACTGAAAGCAGGATTAGGATGGAAAAGTGAATTGGTAATAGAGTAAGTCACTTTGTAGGTGAGTTAGTACTCATTCAGCTATCTAAAATTTGAGTTTATTCTGTAATCCTAGCCCAGCTCTGAAAGTAATGGGGCAGGCGATTACTTAACACATTCCTATGGTGCTAAGAGCCATGATAAGAAATTTTAGACAACCAAATATCTTGATCATTCTAAAGAATGGTCAGATTTGTTTCTAGTTTATGAATGCACATCAGGAAAGCACTGAAGTAAATGGGGTTCAACCCATTTACAGTAGTGATGAATTTAGTCCAATATTTTTAAGTGCATCAGTATATTGATCACCAACCTGATCGAGAGAGCAGTGCTAAATCAGATGAAAAGACTCTTTGACTCCAGGAACATGAACAAAAGGTTCTTTACATTTAAACAGGATCCTCTCCAAAATGAAAACCCCACAAGCCAAGTTCTGCTTTCAATTACACCAGTGTAAACAGAGGATAAATTCACAGGAATATACAGCTCGAGGAAAGAGAACATGGTCTCAGTGTCCCACAGGCCAATATAGTTTGCCAAGCTTTTAGCCAAGTAACAAGGCTCAGCTACAGTCCTTTCAAGACCAACAAGTTCAGACACTTAAGTGCACAGTGTTTTCAAGCCCTTTTTTGAATTCTTCTCTCTTTGGGTATGTCTAGACTACATGGCTCTGTCGACGGAGCCATGTAGATTTGTTTTTTTGGAAAAGGCAAATGAAGCCGCGATTTAAATGATCGCGGCTTCATTTACATTTACATGGCTGCTGCGCTGAGCCGACAAACAGCTGATCAGCTGTTTGTCGGCTCAGCGCAGCAGCCATGTAAATGTAAATGAAGCCGCGATCATTTAAATCGCGGCTTCATTTGCCTTTTCCAAAAAAACAAATCTACATGGCTCCGTCGACAGAGCCATGTAGTCTAGACATACCCAAAGAGAGAAGAATTCAAAAAAGGGCTTGAAAACACTGTGCACTTAAGTGTCTGAACTTGTTGGTCTTGAAAGGACTGTAGCTGAGCCTTGTTACTTGGCTAAAAGCTTGGCAAACTATATTGGCCTGTGGGACACTGAGACCATGTTCTGAAGTCCTCTGAGGGCACAGCCTGAGAAATTTCCCAAGCCATCACAGCACCTTCATGAAGTCAGCTCTGCTAAGGATGCTGATAAAATAGTGAGCTTTCAGAAAGACATGTGTGAGGTAATATAGTTTAGTAGAGCACTTGAAAGCGTGCTGAGAACCAGCACTCTGGTCAATGTTTATCCAGTTGCCCTTCCCCCAAGTCCTGATTATCCTATTAACAAGGAGACTAGATAAAAGAACACAGACAGGAAGCCCAAAGGGTGAGTAGTGAAGAAAGAGAAAGGCAAAGGCCTGACAAAAGGATGGCTGCTGTGAGAAGATGACTGTTCTTTCCCCACCTTTGAAGAAGAGGTAGTAAAATTGGAGAGCATTGTAAATATAGTGACTGCACTAGTATGTAGAATGTGTTGGAGTGGTACACCAAACTGCATGGTGGTATCTACACGAGAGAAGGTCGCTGAGTGGTTTGTGGGAAGTAAAGAGGATATGAAGGAGCCTCTCACAAACCAACTTCTGTTGGTGACAGAGACAAGCTTTGGTACATACGCAGAGCTCTTCTTTAGAAGACATTTGTCAGGACACCATTAATATCAGCCTTTGCGGAGCCAACCCACAAGAAAAAGTAGTAGTAGCAGCTTCTCAGCAGCAACAGTGTAGCGTCTGTGAGCAGGTTTTTATGATGTGGTGGTGAGACTGTCTGAGCTCTGTTGACACTTGTGGCAACAGTGCAGCTGAACTGTTGCTTAAAATGGATGCTAATTTTCCTAGAATAGACAAGTTTTTAAGAGAACTGGACTTTTAATGGTTGTCATACTCATGAAATATATGGATTTTGCATCTGCATTTAGTCACATTATTTGACTGTATGAACCCCATAAAAGCCCCCAAATTTTACATCCAGACCTGTGCATGAAGGACTATAAATCTGAGGGTATTTTCTCCTCTCTGTGTATAAGCACTAAAGTCCTATGTATTTTTATTGGATCTGTAACTACGCTCTGGGAACTGGGCCTGCTGCTTCAATTTGAGGAAGAAGAATCTTGATCGTGTTCAGGATGTTGAGAGTCAAAAAACAGAAGCCGTTGTGCAGAACCCTTCAAAATAAAGGGTTTCTTTGCATTTTGATAAAAGAGATAACTAGAAGTATTATAAAATACCTAATTTCTGCTACTGATGGAGACATTATACACAGATAGCTTCCCCACATAAAGGCTATTGGGCTATCTAATGGCTCAGCTCTACCATTTCTTTGCATTGGGACTTTATCAATGGTCTAGGTTTATAAGCTGCAGATTTTTTTTCTAACAAAAATTAATCCAAAAAACAGAGGTGAATAGGGTTGCCAGATGGTTTTAACAAAAATACCGGACACACTTGACATTACATCACGATCTACATTACATCTTATTTAGAAAATACTGGACATTTCTATTTTCTCGTTTCTATTTTCTCCATTTTTTCCTGAACAGAAATCTGAAATGCTGGACTGTTCAATTCAAAACCGGACACCTGGCAACCCTAGAGGTGAATGAAGTTAACTATAAATTCTCACAAGCCTGGGCACAATCCATGAGAAAATCCATCAGCTGAAGACTGTTGTCTCATTGAAGTATCTTCCAAATGCTAAGGTACAGATTCTGCTGCTTTTACGAGTGGGGTATTATTCTGGGACCTTAAGTAATCAAGTAATCCCATTCGGCTTGTCTACAATGTGTGCGGACTGGCCCATAGATTTCCATGGCACTGCTTCTGCTATTCAGCTCCAGGCCTTGTTTAGACAGTAGTCTAGTTGTGGTGTAAATTGAGTTGAATGACTATTTATGAGTACAATTACAGATTCTAATATAGACTGCATATTTTATTCCTGGTCTTACTCCACCCTAGGGTTCTGGAACAAATGTTTGTGAAGTGTCTGCATTTGTGTTTACAGTTGTATGTGTTAACACATGGTAATTAGCAATTAACACGTGTTATAACAGAATTAAAAGCTCTAGTCTAGTCAAAGCCTGGTGAGGGTGGCAGAATATGATTCATGTTGACTAAAAGGCTACGTCTACACTGGCCCCTCTTCCGGAAGGGGCATGTAAATTTCACGAGTCGTCGTAGGGAAATCCGCGGGGGATTTAAATATCCCCCGCGGCATTTAAATAAAAATGTCCGCCGCTTTTTTCCGGCTTTTAAAAAAGCCGGAAAAGAGCGTCTAGACTGGCCCCGATCCTCCGGAAAAAGTGCCCTTTTCCGGAGGGTCTTATTCCTACTTCAAAGTATAATAATAATTTGACTGTATGAACCCCATAAAAGCCCCCAAATTTTACATCCAGACCTGTGCATGAAGGACTATAAATCTGAGGGTATTTTCTCCTCTCTGTGTATAAGCACTAAAGTCCTATGTATTTTTATTGGATCTGTAACTACGCTCTGGGAACTGGGCCTGCTGCTTCAATTTGAGGAAGAAGAATCTTGATCGTGTTCAGGATGTTGAGAGTCAAAAAACAGAAGCCGTTGTGCAGAACCCTTCAAAATAAAGGGTTTCTTTGCATTTTGATAAAAGAGATAACTAGAAGTATTATAAAATACCTAAAGCCCTCCTGGTTGTAAATATCCAATGTCTTACCTTATTGTTGAGTCTGCATTGCCAACCAGCCTAAACATTTCATTCTGAAAACAGCGTGAACTCCATCTTCTCCCTGCCCTCCTTATCCTTAACGATGTAGGCACATGTTTGCACTGCTCAGACATCACAAAGAAGCTTAAAGCTGCCCTACTGGGTCAACTGAGGATTCCTCCAGCACAGAAGAATCACTTGGCTGTTATAAGAGTTTGTATAGTTGGCTCCTTACTGACTGCTTCCTGCCCAACACAGGGCAAGTTTGTGTGGGAAAGAACCCTGTTCATCTTCCCAGATCTGGAATCCTGGAATTGAACAGCTGACCAGATCTCTGTTGCCACTCCTCTCGCCCATGGGCTGTAGGTATAACCCAACTCTGAGCTGCAATTTAGAAGCAGGCAGCACAGTTTAGTGGTACTTTCTGATGCCCAGTTGTGAGTTACCTCCCACCACCCATCTCCTGTCCTGACGCATGAGGCACTGTGGTGCTGAGTTTCAGGGCATGTCTGCACTACAGCCTCTGTGGTAGCACAGCTATGGTGCTGCAGCTCTGCAGTTTTCACTTCAGAGTGTGCATGATTCCTGCATCTGTGGCAGGGGTTTTCCCATCAACTGGATTGCTGCTAGGTACTATACCTGCCCTAGCAACAGTAGCTAGGGCAGAAGTGGGCATTAATTTTTGATGGAGGCCATTCCAAGAATTTGGTAAGTGGTCAAGGGTTGCATTTTTCTAGAAATCTTAATGGGGGGGGGCGGTGCACGGTCTGCAACAGAATCTGGATAGAGGAGGGAGCTTGGGGTTGGGGATTGGAGTTCAGGAGCGGCTACGGGGTCTGGGAGAAGGGTTGGGGTGCAGGAGAGGATTCTGACCTGGGGGAGGGGTGTAAGAAGGGTACACGTCTGAGAGACAGTTGTGACCTGCGGTAGGGATGTAGGAGGGGGTACAGAGAGGTTGGGTTGTGACCTGGGACAGGGACTTGGGGTGCAGGAGGTGGTGGGGTGCCATGTTCAGGCTCTGGCTGGAAGGGGCTTACTTAGGGGGCTCCCAGTCAGCAGCCCAGTGGGACTCTCAGGCAGGTTCCCTGCTCTTTCTCATGCTGCTCCCTTGAAGGGGAAGGGGCAGTGGGAGTCCATGGTCGCAAGCACCCAGGCAGCTTCCATTGGACAGTTTCTGACCAATGGGAGATGTAAAGATTATGCTGAAGTTGGGGTCAGCATGCAGAGACACCTCCCCAAGAAGTGTGGGCCATGCAGAGATGCACACGCTGACCAGTGGCAGTCGGAAAAGCTAACAGAATTTGGGAATCATTAGGAAAGGGATAATAAGAGAAAATATCATATTGCCTCCATGGTATGCCTACATCTTGAATACTGAATGCAGATCATGCAGATCTGGTCAGCCCACCTCAAAGAAGATGTATTGTAATTGGAAGAGGTTCAGAAAAGGGCAACCAAAATGATTAGAGATATGGAACAGCTTCCATGTTAGATTAATAAGACTGGGACTTTTCAGCTTGGAAGAGAGATGACTAATGGGGGATATGATAGAGGTCTATAAAATCATAACCAGTGTAAAGAAAGTGAATAAAGAAGTGTTATTTACTCCTCACAATACAAGAAGAAGGGGTCACCAAATGAAATTAATTGGCAGAAAGTTTAAAACAAACAACAAACAAAGAGAAGTACTTCTTCATGCAAAGCACAGTCAACCAGTAGAACTCCTTGACAGAAGATGTTGTAAAAGCCAAGACTATAACAGATTTAACAAAAAGAATTAGATAAGTTAATGCAGTCCGTTAATGGCTATTCGCCTGGATGGTTTCCCCAGTCTTGGTTTACTGGACAGTGAGAATGGGCACCAGGGAATGGATCACTTGATGATTACCTGTTCTATTCATTTCCTCTGAAGTACCTGACATTGTCCATTATTGGCAGACAGGTTACTGGGCCAGATGGACCTTTGGTCTGACTCAGTATGTCTGTTCTTATACACCTGGTATTAGCCACTGTTTGAAGACAAGATACTAGGCTAGCTTGACTTTGGTCTGACCCAGTATGGCCATTCTTATGTTCTTAATTTTAAAAATAAATGGATGCCTAATGTTATCTTCTCAAACTAATATATGTTACTACTAAAATATATAGAGATATTGGTATTCAGGAACCAAAATATAATACAATGTTATCCTGTTAAAGTAGGATTTGCATGCAATGTTGTATAGAGCAGATCATGTCATGAACTAGGGAATTGCCTTTGTTTAAACTTTATAGCCATTATATTTGATCTACTAGTATTCATTATCCCCTTGTTATAGACAGTATATTTTTATTGCTTTGAGGAACTTTAGGTGTACTCCTTTTTAAGGAAAATGCCAATGGCAAATGAACAGTGAGATTGTGTAGCCTTTTGGATAAACTCTCTTAAATTATAGGACTGTGACAGATTCTCCACAGTTAAGGTAATGAGATACTTTGCATTGTAAAGTCAATGTTGGAGTCTCTAACTTTTTCTAAAATAACAACAACAACAACAACAAAACAACAGCATCCGTTTCACTCTATTCATAAATGTATGTGTGTGTATACAGACATGCACATGCACACATATACAGGCAGTCCCCGAGTTACGCGGATCCGACTTATGTCGAATCCGCAGTTACGAACGGGGTTTGCTGCCCGTCTCCCTGGTCTGCTGGAGACCAGCAGACCAGGGAGATGGGAAGCAAAGCCTCTGAGGATGCCGGCAGCGGGACAGCCGCGGCGCGTCTGGGCTGTCCGCTGCCCGCATGCTCCGCGGATTTGCTCCACATCTCCCCAGTCCAGCAAAGTCCTTCATCTGGGACCAATCACAAAGTGCAAGTGAGGACAAAGCCTACAGCAGTACTTTAGGGGAGGACTTTTCCCTCACTGTCTACTTCAGTGAGCTCCAGGTGAAATACTTTGACAAAAATTTTTGTAGAGCCAAGCAACACTCAATCATTGTAATTTCTTCCACTGAACATGGGTGGAAACTGGGGCATGAATACTATTCACCCATAAAATGCCACTGTCTGATGTGCCTTTGGCTATGCCACAGTTGCCCATCAAGCACTGCAGCTTTTGCCAATTCAGACTCATCTGCAGTGGCCAGCTACTTCAAAGGGATAGGGCTAGCTGAAATCTCCCTACTCCACTTACCCCAATGGAAGCAGAACTCCAGTAATAAATACCTGAGTTTTATGTAGTGGTTTACAAAGGAGGTAGCATCACTACCCCCATTTTAAAGATGGAGAAACTGAGGACCTTTCTCAGGGGAATTCTTGAACAGGTATAATTTGTGAAAAGGTATAATTTCCCCTCCCATCTTCTGTGCTAAACTGGCAGGTAATGGTGCAGAGCATTGTTCACCAGCCTCTGCATTTTGCCCAGAAGCGATGCCTATGTATAGTTATTCTTTTGCTGTGTTTGTGAAGTGCTCAGGAATGAAAGGTGGGGAACCTGGGGGTCAGAGGTGGCCCCAAAGCTTGCCTGGATCTGGCCCCCGAGGTTCAGGGATCCCCCCCCAGAATTAGGGACCCTACACTGGTGCTCCAGTCCCTCCACCATCCTTCTACATGGCTGGAGCACACACAGTCTACTTGCCTGGGGCCACCCAAGGCTGTGGTGTGTGAGGGGAATGTGGAGAATCTTTCTCCCTCACAGTTACCTCAGAGGAGGGTTCTTTTTGTTTTGGGGTTTGTTTGGGTTTGTTTTTGCTTCTTGGTTGTGTGCGGCCCCGACTGATTTTTCTGTGGGTCAGCGGCTCCTCACCCAAAAAAGGTTTCCCACCCCTGCACTATGTAAACACAAGATTTACTATTGTTGTTTTTATTTCCACCCCACAGACAATGGGGATTTCTTATAACCCCTACGATTGCTGTGCTGTCTCTCAGGCCTGCCGATGGGGTGAGGGAGGGCAAATGGGGCAGTTGCCCTAGGGCCCATCAATTCAAAAGAGCCTAGGGCTCTTGGCTGTTGCCGCTACTGCAGAAGTGCCAGGGG